AAATAAATAAATAAATAAATAAATAAATAAATAAATAAATAAATAAATAAATAAATAAATAGTTAAGTAAATGAATAAATAAAGAAACGAAGAAGTGAAGAAATGAAGAAAGAAAGAAAGAAAGAAACGAATACTTGCTAGCAATTTTTAAATGCATGCATGCAGGCGTGCATGTTATAAATGCATGCAAACACTTCTTATATGCACATATACATATATATATATATATATTTACATATATATGTATATATCTATATACATTTATATATATATGCATGGTTGAATAATGCATGCATTTAAATAACGTAATATATACTTCAAATGCACTTGAGGCATGCATGCATGTTTTAAATGCATGCATGCATATTTGTTAAATGCATATATATATATATTTATATATTAAATGCATGCAATCATAGTTTAAGTGCATGCATGCATGTATATAGATTAAATGCATGCATGGATGCATGCATACATACATATATATTAAATGCTTGCAAGCTTTAAATATTTAAATGCATGCATGCATGCATTTAAATGCATGCATATTTTAAATGCATGCATGCATATTTTAATCGCATGCATGCATGCATTTAAACGAATACCCATGGGATACGAAAGAGGAGTCTGAAGGAGTTTATATATATTTATTTTTTTGTTTATTTTGTTTATTTGATTAATTTATTTAGTTGCATCTCTTCACCTTGTTTATTTTGTTTATTTATATATTATTATTATTATTAATTATACTTATTAAGTTTTCTTCCTGTTATAGGCTTGCTACTGCACAGCAACGCACACCAACCCTAAACCCTAAACCCTAAACCCTAAACCCTAAACCCTAAACCCGTGGAGATATTTAAAAAGTATAGGCAGCAGACAAGCGAAAACAAAAAAATTAAAAAAATAAAAATAAATTTTTGTTTTTTTATTGCTGACGCCTGGCGGCGATTTTTAAAGACGCCAACACATATGGATCTTCCTGCTGCTGCTGCTGCTGCTGCTGCTGTTGCTGCTGCTGCTGCTGTCGCTGCTGCTGCTGCTGCTGGTGCTGCTGTATTTGTTTGGTTAAAGATAGCGAAGAAAGAAATATTTCTTGCGTCTCCTTCTGCTTGCCTTTGTACTGCACGTAGCTGCACATACACCCCAAAAAAACAAAACAAATAAATAAACAAAATAAAATAAGTAAACAAATAAATAAGTAAGTAAATAAGTAAAAATAAAAGCACGAAAAATGCATTGAAAGACAAACAACTATAAATTAAAACAAAACAAAGCAAAAGAAGTAATTAAAACAAACAAAGATAAATAAATAAAAAGAAATATATAAAACAAATAAACAAAAACAAATAAAAACAAAAGGAAATAAATAAAAAGAAGTAAATAAAAAAGAAATGAACGAAGCAAACAAACAAAAACAAAGAAATACAAACAAACAAAGACAAATAAACGAATAAACAAAAGCAAAGAAATGCAAACAAATAAATAAAACAATTAAAGAGAAGTAAATAAAAGAAGCAAACAAAGCAACAAAACAAAAACAAATGAATAAAAACAAATAAAAAGAAGTAAATAAAAAGAAATATATAAGACAAACCGTTTGATTAAAGAAGGATGTATCGAACCTAAAGATATAAAACGCGTTGTGCTTGCTGCACGACAAGCTGCGTCTTTTCTAAGCAGCAGCTTTGGGGGTATTCCTGCTTCTGCTGCTGCTGTTGCTGCTGCTGCTGCTGCAGTTGGATCTTGAGCATGCGCTGCTGCTGCTGCAGCTGCTGCAGCTGCTGCTGCACCTGCTGCTGCTGCTGCAGCAGAAGATCTATTTCGTGGGTTTAATGATTGAAAAGCAAGACGCCGCAGCAAACGTAGTCTCCCTGCAGAGGGGGGCATCTGAAGAAGAAATGTAAAGATTAAAACATTTATTAATAAAGAGACGGAGAAGGATAAACAGCTTCTGCTGCTGCGCTGCTGCTGTTGCTGCTACTGCTGTTGCTGCTGTTGCTGTTCTGCTGCTGTTGCTTTTGTTGCTGTTGCTGCTGCTCCTGTTGCTGTTGCTTGTGCTGCTGCTGCTGCTCCTCTATACGTGTCTTTCTGATAGAGTAGATTGCATATAAGCGGCTGGCGGGATTAACTAATTTGTATATTAAAATAAAATGAAGTTAAAATATAAAATTAATTACATTATTTAAAAATATTAAATAATATTCAATATTAATTGTTGGAAGCCAACTGCAAGTCGCCGCTGCATGCATGCTGGGGCTTCCTTTTGTTTGTGTTGTTTCTTTCATAATTATTGTGTTTTTAATTATATTTTATATATTTTCACAAACAATTTGTTTTAATTCAATAAAAAATCATTAAAAACCCAACAACAACAGCACTGCAGCCTCGCTGTCTGCACATACACCCGAAGGCAGCGACGAAGCCGCTCTTTTCTTTGGAGTTTTCTTTGAATTTAATTTAATTATATTTTATTTTTAATTCCTTTTTTAATATTTATTCTTTCTTTGGTTTATTTATACATAAAAACGCAAACAAAACCAACAGCAGCAACAGGAGCCTCCGGTGGGGGGCCCCAGCACAGCAGGGGATGGAGAACATGATAAACAACGAAACAGCAGCAGCAGCAGCAGCAGCAGCAACAGCAGCAGCAGCAGCAGGAGTAGGTGCAGCAGGCTGAGCAGCAGCAGCAGCAGCAACCGAATAATCAGCAGCAGCATCAACAGCAGCAACGGCACCAGCAGCAGTAACAGCTTCAGCAGCAGCAGCAGCAGAAGCAGCAGCAGCAGCAGCAGCAGCAGAAGCAGCAGCAGCAGCAGCAGCAGCAGCAAAATGGATTCATCTTTTTCTCGTTTTTCTCGCCCTTCTGGGGGCCCCATAATAACAGGCAATGCCAATCGCCGTCTGCACCCTCAATTCATCAAAACAGCATCTTCTTCTGCTGCAGCAGCAGCACCAGCAGCAGGAGCAGGAGCAGCAGGAGCAGCAGCAGCAGCAGCAGGAAGTGGAGGGAGTATGCTGCTGCCTGAGGGTCTCCCGTCTAGACAAGCTGTTGAACCTTTAGGGGCTTTATCTTATTTGCAGCATCGGTCGCCGTTTTGCTTCCCTCTACATTTTCATTTTGCTGCTCCTTCTCTGTTTACCTCTCCTAAACTCGCAGCATTTACTCTCTCTCCTTCTTTATTTCTTTCAAACGGCTCTGCAAATAATTCAGCATCTGCTTCGGCTGCTTCTCCTGATGCTGCTGATGCTTCTGATGCTGCTGCTGCTGCTGCTGCTGCTCCTGCTCCTGCTCCTGCAGCAATCGATGCTGCGTGGCTGCAGCAAATTCACAGTCCTTTTGAATCTGCTGCAATTTTGCCTTCGTTATTAAACCCTCTGGGGTATCCTCGGCTTGTAGCAGATCCACTTATGCTGCAGCAGCAGCAGCAACAGCAGCAGCAGCAGCAGCAGCAGCAGGAGGCGCGGAAGCGTTTGAATCACTTACATGCTGATGAAGTATATCTTCTTTCTACTCTTCTTCCTGAGTTTGCTGGCAGCAGCAAACGCATTTGTAGGGGCCCCACAAATGCGCAAGAAGCAGCAGCTGTGCAGCACCCTGCTGCTGCTTCTTCTGCTGCAGCAGCAGCAGAAGCAGCAGCAAGTCCTCAGCAACCGGGCATCCATACACAGCAGCAGCAGCAAATGCAGCAGATGGCGCAGCTCAAACACCCAACGCGGCCTCATCTAACCGTTAAGAGGGTAATTGCTTCTGTTTTTGCTGCTGCTACTGCTGCTACTGCTGCTACTGGTGTCGCTGCTACTGGTGCTGCTGCTGCGATTACTGCTGCAGTTTCTGCTGCTGTTGGTGGTGATGTTGTTGGTGCGTCTGCTGCTTGGCACAGGTTCGTGTTGCTGCTGTTGCTGCTGCTGCTGCTGTTGCTGCTGCAGGTGCTGCCGGTGGTGCTGCCGCTGAAAGCAGCAAATTCAAATTTGGTGCATCTGGGCCTTGACCTTCCCCCTCTTGAGACTTCCTTCTTCAACATGCAGCCCTCTCCTGCTGCTGCTGCTGCTGCTGCTGCTGCTTCTGAAGAGCAGCAGCAGCAGCAAGAGCAGCAGCAGCAGCAAGAGCAGCAGCAGCAGCATCTCGTCG